CTGCTAGAGTCTGCATTGGACAAGTCGATTCTATCCTGGTGGTGTACAAGCCCCTGCCTGGGTTGAAACACTAGGAAACTTGTCCAAAGCACCCCTCAGCAAAACTCAGCAGCAATGGGCACCCGTGCACCCTCTCCTCGACTGAAAGCTCCTTGGGAGGCTCCACCACACTTCCAGGACTGAGAGTTGCTACTCTAGCCAGTGGGCATTCATTGCCCCATCCTGAACACTAAAGTCCCCTTTAAAATAGCTCCAAAGGGTTGTGGAGATGGTTCAGTCCATAAAGGGCTTGCCTTGAAAAAAGGAAAACCTGACTTCAGTCCCCTGGAACTCATAAAACTGCAGGAGGCACTAGGTGTGATGGTACACACTTGGACTCCCAGCACTGGGGTGGTCCAGACAGGAGGGTCCCTAGAGCTTGCTGACCAGCCGGCCTGGTGAGCTTCAAGCAAATGAAAGACCATGTCTCAATGGTGATGGAGGGCCAAAGATGGCACCTAGGGTTGTCCTCCGATCTCCACAGACATGGGCATGGTGGCTCACGCAGGCAAGATAAGGTGCATTTACATAGGCTGTGCTACATAGTGAGGCCCTTTCTCAAAAACAAAATACAAAACAAAAAGACACACGCAGAGTGTGTGCAGTTCAGTGGTAGAGTATGTGGTATGTGCCACGCAGGCATGGGGGCCTGGGTTCAATCTCCAGCAGTGTTTGTCTTTCTTTTTAAGAGGGAAAGAATTGTTCAATAGTAGGGCTGTTTTTTGCTCTAAAGGGCTCAGAGTTAAGTAGAAAGGTGCTTTTTTCTTTGCCCAAAGAGAAGTATTTTCAGCATCAAGGACATGGGATCAATTTTGAGGTTATAAGCACATATTTTTAATTTTTTCCCCAGTTTTCTATAAGTATGTGTTATCTCCAGGGCTTAATCCCTTCCAGAGGTGACCTTCCTACATCTTCCCCTTCTCCTTACTCCACCCTGACCCCGTAAGAATCATTAATGAGAAAGGAATTTTAAAATTACCCAAATGTCCTGGTTATCTCGATAAAACAAAGAACAACATGGAGTCAGTCACCTCCTCCACTTCCCTGTGCCCCCTCTAATCTCCAGGGCTTCCATCTCCACTCGAGAGTACATCCTGATCTGGGTGGGGCCGCCTCCGTTGCCTGCTAAATGGACACTCCCTGAGTCCAGCAGTATGAGTCAAAAAAGCAGACACGTATTGGCTAAGGAGGCTTCAGCAAAACCCCAAGAAGCTGGATTCTACTTCTAAGATAACGCTGGGCTAGTGGAGACCATTCGAGATGAGAAGCCATGTGTGGTCTGGTGCCTGGCAGCTAAAGGGGAAGCCCCTCCTTTCATATCACACATATCTGAAAAAGTCCTGAGAGGCATTCCAGGGGCCAGAGCAGCTGGAAGAAAAACACAGTGTCTGCTCAGACAGCCATCTTCACTGTCCTCTGCCCATGCGCGTGTCCCCAAGCAATTATCAAGAATCTGTTAACTACCAGATACCCCGTGAACCATGGTAGCCCACCACCACCTTACTCCACCAATAAATGTTCAGAACTGGAGGGAGGGCTGTCATTTAAATGTTTGCTCTGTAAGCATGAGGACCTGAGTTTGATACTTAGCACCTTCGTGATAAAACTAGCATGGCAGCACACATCAGACATCCCTACAGAAAGAGAAAGATGGGTTTCTGAAGTTCATAGCCCAGACAGTCTAGCCTAACAGGCAAGTTCCAGGCCAATGAGAGACCCCCATCTAGACAGAAGGTGGACAGTGCATGAGAAACAACACCTAAGAGTGACCTCCACCCTCCACATGCACCTGCAGTAACCACCACCCTCTGCACGCACCTGCAGTGACCTCCACCCTCTGCACGCGCCTGCAGTGACCACCACC